CATAAGCGCAGCGGAAGAACCGCGTTCTTCTTTTTCAATTCAAGGGATGCTTTGAGTAAAGACAATACGACTAAACAGTTTTCAAAGACATCCGTTAAGCAAAAAGTTAGATCTTGAATCCAAAACAAGCTTTATAACATGCCTTCCTATAAAATGATTAGTCTTTTTTCGACTTCTATGGCAAAATCTATTTTAATAAGTTGCATTTGTCTATGAAATATTACGAAATGACCCATATTCCATATAAGTTGTAAAATTTCGTTTTAAGCATCTTTCGGAAAATGAATAATGCACTATGAATAATTGAGTTTTGTTTAAGCTTTTAATTATTTTTTTTTAAGTATATAATAAATCAACAAATGCTACAAAGGTGTAATATCGGCATTTATACAAACCAATTAATCTTATTATTGTAATGTGAAAAGAGTTACTTGAATTAATATTCTTTTTCGTATTATTGTATGTTATCCAAATTAAATTAAATAATAAAATGAAAAGCAATATATATATACATTGTTATAATGGTATTTTGCTTATAACTTGTACCATCGTACACGATAATGTGCGTAAAAACAGCGTCAAAAGAAAACAAAAAGAAAACACTGAATGAAGGAAAATATTGTTGTTAAATACCACAAACAACGGTAAGGCAATTATTGTAATAGCAGAGCTTATATATAGTCTTTGTGGTTTCTTTGAAATTCTTGCCGTTTCTCTAATCTACACTTTCTCTTATGCAAATCATTTCGTTACACTCATTCAATAGCGAGTTGTAAAATCGAGCGACTTTCATTGTACAAAAGTGAGCGCATTTTAATGTGATAAAGTAGTTGTGATTTCAAGGAATTGTTCTTCTTCTTTGCAGGCTTTATATGCGCAGAAAAAAGAGGAGTCAAAAGAGTGTGTATACGAGTAAGATAATAAAACAATATTTAATTGAACCGATTAACGGACTGAATACATTTTCCGATCCAAATAAATGGATAGTGATTTTACAAAATAATCTATATATATTATTTTCTATATTTATATTATTTGATATATCCAGGTATCTCTGAACAAACTATTATGTGAAAGGACTATTATTCGATTTCCATATCTATTATTTCTGACAATCTTGCATTCAATCACCTATTAAACAACATGAATTGAATATATATATATATATATATATATATTGACTCAAAGGTATAATAATTACAGCTTAATGACTGCAATTTCTCTCAAATAAAAAAATAATTTTTAATAAATCTTAATAAATCTCGCGGTAAAAAAGGCGGATAATAATTGCTATGTCGTTGTGTTATTATTCTTTGAAAAATGAATGCAACAAGCACCAAAAAGAAATTATTCTCTACTACTTGATAATACTAAATTTCTATTATCTAATAATTTCAGCTATTATAAGTCAGCGCGTTTATTTAACTGTCCATATTAACAATTCGTAAACGTATCAAAGCAACAGCTATTTGTTTAAGCGGATATATTGTACATTTTATTCATTTGAAATAGAAATTGAAGCAATCGGAAAATGCAAATTTTAATTTATGTATCGTGATATTTATATGTTGGCGGTAATTATTTCTTTAACGACTTATTGACTTAAATACATCCTACATTGCGCTTTAAATTTTTATCGCCAATATGTAACTTGTCATCGACCGATGAGTGATAAAATTTTATTTTATGATAAAAAAACGTCAACTATACATATACTTTTTTATGTACTTGGCATATATTTTTTATTTTTCTTGAAAAGGTTTTTTTATTAATAATATATTTTTTACACATAATAAATCTGTGTATCTACAATATCCTAATGACGTTTCTAACGTCAATAAGACGTTATTAAAACATCATTTAACGTAATCTTGTTACTTAGGACATTACCATCGGCAAATCCAGCATACATAAATTTTGATCGAGGAATATATTTAATATATATCATACAGCATATCACACAGCCCTCTCACTTTTATAAATTTGTAGCAAGGAAAAAGAAGAGTCTAAATATTTTTTAAACATTATTTAGACATTAGTTCTCTCTTTTTCTTAATTTTTTTCATACAAAAAACACAGAATTATTATTTTTTTTAGCATTCAGTTATATTAGCTGTTATAAATAAGCTTGTTATAATGTAAATATAAAAAGATCAGCTTCTTATTCGATCGACCTGCAAATGGCTATTGAACTCCTGCCAATTAATTAGTCATACGAGCATGAGTAGAATGCAGCCTATATAATGAACAGCGACACGAGCATGCTAATTGATCGATCGCAGAGATTTCCGCGTTCGCACGACAGACAAACGACGAAGTCCAGGACGATGGTCAGTGATCCCTCTTCACTCGATGCCCCTCCTTCACCCACCCTTTCAAACGCGTCCTTTGTTCAGACCGGTTTACACCGGACCAAAAGCCAACCGCTTCAATGGTGTTGTACATAATTAATACGAAATTCCTTTCAACGGCCGAATGAAGAACTTAATCTGGAAACGGACGGCAGTTTCGTCGAATGATCATTTCGGCAAATAGCATCAAACGGTACCGGCTGATTTGACTGGCAGAGAGCCGCTGATTGCCGTCAGAGTAATGCAAGCAACGATGTGATAACAGATCCTGTATCATGGCAAGCGAAACGGGAGTTGCGAGTAAACCGGAGGTTAATACTGCGGTGTCGCGTTTTCCGATTGAAGCACGAGATTTCCGATATTCATGCGCGATATGGTATAATTTATTAATATTAGCGACAAGTTTATGAACGTTTCGTGACAAAAAATATGAATTAAAAAGAAGAACATAAAAACACTTTTAACGTATAAAAAGTTTTGTGGCGATTTTGTCGCGATAAAGGCAAAATGGTAGCGCTTCGATTGGTGTAGATGTTTCAATATTTAATGTAATCGGATAAAAATAGTTTGAACGATGAATAAATCTTTAAATTAACATCCTGAAATATGTGCTGGAATATTCTATCATCTTTTTTGCTACTTCCTAATTTGAAAATCACGTCAATTATTTATGAAACCGATCACAAAATTTTCGATTAAATTGCTAAAAAGAAAAACAGATTTTATATACAATTTTATATGCCAGATAAAAATCCTTGGTCCTCGCGCAATTTTTCCATTGCTCTATTGCTACAGGGGGACAAGATATTACGAGATACTGTCATACCATCTCATATAAAAAGAATCATGTCTAGCAGAGTATTTGATCTAATATGAGTATTATCTGACTTAGCCATCCGCCCACGACGTGAACATGATATCACAATAGTGACACTGGCAACGAGGGCTGGCTATGCACGCAACGAATAATACATGCAATACCATACGCACGTGATTGTAACAGGATGCAGTGCGTGACCGGCAAGCAGGCCGAGCTTGTAATAGGCAGAGACCGGACTTGCGAACCAGTGTCGTATGCCGCCAGTAATTCTGCTCAAAAGGCACGATTCTGAACTAATGACGCGGAATTCACCTTTGTATATATACCTATGCAATCTAGTTCCCATACATTCTTCTCATGTGTGTGTAATTATTTATTCATAATTACGAAAAATTGACATGCATTGTTCATTGGTATAATGTATCGCTTTCAATTCATGAGTCGCGAATAAATATAAACACCGTCGAATAGAATAGTAATATATCAATAAAAAATAAAATTTACGCGTGTATCAATATTTTCATATATAAAATTATTTTGAAATAATATAAAATATATTAACATATATACACATATGCATATATTATTTCAAAATAATTTTATATATGAAAATATTGATGCATGTCGCACACGCGCAAATTTGTTTCTTTCTATTTTTTTTTTTTTTTTTTTTGATATATTACTATTATACATATACATTATACATATATCGTTTATGTTATCTTTAACAATTTTACATACGTAGAAAATAACAAATTTCTATCAATTTATATATATCATCTTCAACATTATAAACAAATGTGTTCTAATCACCGATGCATAGTTCCGTATTATATTTGTCAACCTTCTAATCTAACGTTTTACAAACTTACATTTCTACAAATACATAATATAATTTTGTACAATAACGGCGAACAAAGCGTCATAGTTACGTACTTAAATAAAGTAGGTTAAGTAGAGTAATATTATTAACGACGCCGAAGTTTATCATTCTTGCGCTAATGCCGTGTAGAAATACTTGATGAAAGCTAGCAGCTCTAATACTGCCTCTCCTCAGTCTGTATAGACTTCCAAAGAAAACTTACGATTTGTCTAAAGTAGCATGCGCACACATCCTAAGTGTTTCTCTTAGGGCTGATAAACGCCAACGTTGATTATAGCAAGAACAGGTCTATCTTATAACAACAATCTCTCTCTTCCTCTCGCCCTCTCTCTCTCTCTCTCTCTCTCTCTCTCTCTCCCCTCCCCCCCTCTCTTCTCTCTCGCTCTCTCTCTCTCTCGCTCTCTCTCTCGCTCTCTCTCTCTCGCTCTCTCTGTCGCTCTCGGGCAACAAGCACATCAAATTTTGTCCGTCACGATCATAGTCATAATAAGATTAGGCTAATTATGTTTATACACTTACGAAAATCGGATCAACTAGACTCTATTCGCGCATACGAGGCGGTTACGAGACGAGTGGACTCTGCTAATCTTGTTGTTTAGTTTAGTTTAGGTTGAATTTGCTATTGTGCTGTGAACTATGTAACGCGTAAGTACATGTTTGCGAGAATATGCTATTGCATATTAATTAACTGTAAGCAAATGATGGCAAACAAAATCACGGAATAACGAGCGATCGGCTAAAGCGTGTACAACTATTAGTTTGCGTTTTATATCTGAAAAGGATATAGCTGATAATGATCGTAAATACAAGTCGCCGAATCGAACCGAGTATAATTTATACTGACATTTCTTACTTGAAAAATTACATCTTTAAATCCTAAAATCATTAATTGATAAAATATATTACAGTTATTTATTTCCGGGATGTCTCGTATATCGTCACTTACCGCTTCTGTATGCACAGGATGCGTGGCGAATAACAATCCAGCGAGAGCCGCGAATCCTGGCCGAAGTGCCGCTACCACGAGACTCACTCTGGTGACCAAAATGCACGCACCGGCGTGTAAGGCGACGTTTGTGGCGTGATACCACATTGGACTCAAGCCTGCCATCAAGTAATTCAACCTGAAATCAATTAAACGAGATTCGTATTAGATATCGACAAGTCGCTGATGCCGGATATCTAAAAATATTTCGACTTAATGTAGGAAAATTACGCGGCATTTTTAGCTACGATAAAGATGAATAACAAATGACGAATGGCGGATAATTGAGATTAGAACTAAATTAGAACAATGAAAGATCAGAAATAATATTGGATGTTTTCAGCAAATATAACTGAAATTTATATAGAAGATAGGAGATATCCGATATAAATGCAAATGATGTTTTCATCGAAAGACTCTTAAATCAGCGGAGATTATAAATTCACATATTTCCTCCCTGTCAAGTCAAAGTAGAACAGCTAATTATGTTATTATACAGTTTGTGTCCATCTTGTATACAAAAACAATATTATTCGCTAATAAGACGAAAATGTCCTCGTTGCACCGAACATAGTTTCTGTATCAGAGAGCCATTCTGCAATGCTTATATGAAACCCTTATTTGTAAAAAAGGGGATAAATTTTATTGTTACAAAGAAACACGGAAAGATAAATCCTGTCATCTTTTTGTTTATAAGTACAATGGATTTCAAACGCGGGCGTGACGTAGTTTCCACGAAAATCCGCTTAAGTCGGCCGGAGTAATCGGATTTTAGAAAACCATTCCGACTTTTGCCGCAACTAACCGTGGGATGCCGTTTTCTTTGAAGAGATTAAAATAACTGTGACATTATATATATATATACATATATATATACATATATATATACAAAAGACGATATTATTTTTGTCAATGGGCAAATATATATATATATATATATATATATATATATATATATATATATATATATATATATATATATATATATATATATATATATATATATATATATATATATATATATATATATATATATATATATATATATATATATATATATATATATATATATATATATATATATATATATATATATATATATTTGCCCATTGACAAAAATAATATCGTCTTTTGACACGCGCGCGCGACAATATCCGGTATTGAAATATCTTTCATCGCGCCGCATTTATTCAATCCACTAATCGCTGAAAACAATAGGCGCGATTGAAATAAGACGGCATGAAAAAATATATATGGATCGTCGTGCCGACATCGAGATGAAAACAAACACCGTAGTTGCTGACGCAGTCGGGCTATAATTTTGGAAGCCTGCCGGCGGCATAAGTTCGACGCCCCCGGAGAACCTGCGCTTGGCCCGTTTCCAAGTGTCAAGGATCATGGGTTGTCGGAGGCGTATCCTGTCTCTTCCTTGGCTCTAGATCAAGCAAGAAGCTCGCATACGTCGATCGCAGGGCAGCGCGAAATTTCACTGCAAAGTTTCTAGTTATATTGCAAACTACATATATATTGTATATTAAACATTTATTTTTTATTATACTTGAATTAAAGAGTATGCAAATTTATTTTACGAAATAATGCGCTTTTAGTCTGAATGAGAAATCCACTCTCACATCGCTCGTGTTTCATTTCATAATCAACATACAAACCATACTTCCGCACTTATATATCTCTACTTATTATATTAACTTGTTTTTCTGCCGCATCCTCGTTTCGCAAATTTCTGGCATACGCAATGGCTCGAACTGCAGACTATGAGGCTTATATGCTTAAGAGCTTCTTGTTTGCTCTACATGGTTTCTCCAAGCACAACAGCGTGCACGTGCATTCACGTTACGGAATGAAGTACGTTGGATTGCAACGACAATGTTGCATTATCATACCTAGATATTAAACAAGTATTGATGCAATCTCGCTATCGATTACGTGATTAAATGTACAAAGATAATTGCATAGCGAGATACTCTTTGGTTATGATATCGGTATGGATTTCATATCTCGACTAAATTGTAATTATTTTAGTTACTGGTAATATGAAACCCTTATTTGTAAAAAAGGGGATAAATTTTATTGTTACAAAGAAACACGGAAAGATAAATCCTGTCATCTTTTTGTTTATAAGTACAATGGATTTCAAACGCGGGCGTGACGTAGTTTCCACGAAAATCCGCTTAAGTCGGCCGGAGTAATCGGATTTTAGAAAACCATTCCGACTTTTGCCGCAACTAACCGTGGGATGCCGTTTTCTTTGAAGAGATTAAAATAACTGTGACATTATATATATATATACATATATTCATTTCATAATCAACATACAAACCATACTTCCGCACTTATATATCTCTACTTATTATATTAACTTGTTTTTCTGCCGCATCCTCGTTTCGCAAATTTCTGGCATACGCAATGGCTCGAACTGCAGACTATGAGGCTTATATGCTTAAGAGCTTCTTGTTTGCTCTACATGGTTTCTCCAAGCACAACAGCGTGCACGTGCATTCACGTTACGGAATGAAGTACGTTGGATTGCAACGACAATGTTGCATTATCATACCTAGATATTAAACAAGTATTGATGCAATCTCGCTATCGATTACGTGATTAAATGTACAAAGATAATTGCATAGCGAGATACTCTTTGGTTATGATATCGGTATGGATTTCATATCTCGACTAAATTGTAATTATTTTAGTTACTGGTATACATATGCTTTTGATCTATATATAAGAAACAAGAAGATTAATCGTTGTATATTACAAATGTCTCAATCTTCAGTTCCATTCTTCTTCGCTCTCTTTGCGAATAATCATTTATATTTTCCCCCTAAGGAATTCTGTAATGCAATTTGTCTTCGTCGGCACAACTTTCTACGCGAATTTCTCCTCTCATATCTTTTATTCATGTCATCATTGAAACTCGCCCAAACGCATAAAAGAGAAAGAAAGAATTTGGTCTGGAAAATAATTACAGACCTTTCTTCGTCTACGTGCAAATAATAAAAACTGTTGACTGCAATGCTTTAAGAATATCTTATTCTGCAATAAAAAATCTCTGTATTATTTATATACGAGAGATAATATATAGTAGAGCATAAAAAATTATACTGCATACACTCTAATGTTACTAAAAGTAAAAAAATAATAATATATGCACAAAATATCTATCGATGCCATTGCGTTCTAAATTACTAATACAGAAATAAAATTTCAAAAATTTATTTTATTCAAATATGAGTAAAAAGAGAAACCTTGCAAAATTGAAAAACTTAATTTAATTTATTTGAAATAACAGAAAAAAGTTTTCATCCCGAAGATGAGGAGTTTATTTGCACGACATTTAGGTTGTACCTATTTAATTGATTCGTTTTTAAGTACTTAATCGGCTTTGTTTCTATACAACGTTTCTTTGAAAAGATGCGAGGCAGGAACGGACTTAACTTTTCCAGTTTTTCCAATGTCATTTTTAATTATAACTAGAGATAAATTATATTTTTGTCACTATCATTATGTGAATATCACATAATGACGTTATTATAATAATAATTAATATGCTTCGGTATCATTGCGCATTGTATGAAACATACAACATGCTGATCATAATTTTCTACATCATATTTTTAATTTATTTGTTAAGAGAATGAAAAATATAAAGTACCACCGTGCACATAAAAGCATTGTATTTGCGCGCTTGGTCTAGAAATGATAGTTATTCTCTAAAAAAATATTTTATATGCAGTAATTGAAGTATAACGACGTGTACTTTGCATTTTGGCTGAAATAAACACTGATGATACAACCATCAAAAGTTTTAAAACAGAAGCACAGTATGATGAAGTAGAGCAGCTGCTCGTATCAGACCGCAGCGAGACCTGATACTAACTGTCTGACCACAGCTACGCTCTTACTACTGGCTAACCACGACCGGTTCTATTACTACTGTTTGACCACACCAGCTCGTAACTACTGGCCAGCCGCAGAGCGCGATCAATACTTATTCCCGCTGTTCCGTCATTATCACTTTTGCGTTTGCGTTCCGGAACAGAACGAACGGCTCCCGCGCCAGCTAAATGAAGAGCTTTAATCTCAGGAATAACTTTTAAAATCAGACACATTTCTCTTGAATAACCGTACTTCGGTGAAAATGTCGCCTCATGCGTAAAGGTTCGTACTATCGCACAAACTATCGCGCGATATAAATCAACATCCTGAAAAGAAAATCTTGGCAGAATTCTGGTACTTAATTAACTAATGAAATTTAGCCGGTCGTGTAAGGATGACACATCGGGCAAAAGCCTTTCAAGGAAATGTTCGACGTTTGGCCTCTTCAAAAGGCTCTCTTAAAGATGTCGCACCGTAAAAAGTAGAAAGATCGGCCCCTTCGTAACAAGGTATTAAAGTCTTGAACGATGTCGTTAAATCACGCTGGCTTAGTTTACTATCCCTCCCATGTTACGTAGTCGAAAATCAACCTCGTTTCGTCAATTCGTCTTGTTAGTATCCTCTTCCGCTTTCAAGAAAGAAGATTCTGGGAAGCTGCCCGTATATTACAAAAAGTTTTATCACTATTAATCGATACATATATCAACTGCAGAAAAAAAAAAACAATAAAATACGATTATTTTTATATCGCACAAGATATATTTTAAAAGCTCTTTCATACTTTTCAGAGTAGAAAACATTCCTTTAACTTTTCTCATGGAATGTCAAAGTAATGCACGATATCGCGGAGGAAACATTTTCGCGCGATTTTCCTTGACAGTGATGTACATATTTCGAATCTCGTTTCCTTTTCGATAGCGGCATCGGGTTCCAGCTCTGCGAGGACTATCGTTTGCAGTCACAAGACAAAGGCACGATGATAGAGCATCATAGAACGCCATTCAGGCTCAATCGTGCGCGGAATATAGCAGCCAAGATACCGATTTCGACTCTCCAGCGCTGCTTCAGTGATTTAAGGGACTGGCTAACCCGTACTTCCAGTCACGTTCCTCCCGGCCAAGTGTCCAACGAAATAAATCACGGACACGTCGGGACTTCGATCTCTGTTGTTCACGCGAAGAAATTTGGACACGTAGGGAGGCACCGATCGATATCCGCAAGATATTGCCCGTTCTTTTATGT